GGGGCAGGCGGGGATGGAACTCATGCGGAAGTGGCTTGAGCTTCTTAGTGCAGTGCTTTAACCCACTGCGCCACCAGGGAGGGCCAATTTTCTTGAATATTTTTAATGCTTCATTACAGATGCAATCACTTTGCATATATCCCATCACTTGTTCTCCATTTCACCACAGTTAATCTCAACTTCATGTGAAGTTTTCATGCTCAAACGTATTGTCTGAATCCATCTATTTTGAGCATGGCGGAATCTTTTCAATGTGAGATATACAAAAATGACAGTTTTCCTTTCAAAAGGCAAATCTGATCATGTCAATCTCCTGCTTATAATACCCTGGCAGTTCCCACTGCTCTGAGGTTGAACACTACAATCAGGCCTGGCTTGATGTCAGACTCCTTCTGCCAAGCTTCCTCTTAAGCCCTTGCTCTTCCCCTTCTGTTAATTAACTCCCTCTCACTCTTCAGATCTCAGCTCAAATTTACTTGAGTCTTCACCACCACGCCCACAGATCACTCTTGCATGCTTTCAACACAGCCATCTTTCCTTGATAGTGCTTGCGTATCATGTTTAATAAACACTAGTGTTTCCCTAAAACACAAGTTCGCAAAGGGGTTTCTATCCTACTCATGCTTGCACTCCACAAGGCGTGCAGGGAACCTGCAGACATTCATGACCCCTTCACCACAGCTGAAGAAACTGACATCCAACACCTCCTAGATGTTTTTTTGCCCACTTCTGATTTTTTTTTTGGGGGAAGAAGGGATAAGAACATTTAACAGGTCTAACCTCAGTGTGTTCTCATTTCCAGTTTTGACCTATCATTGACATATACTATGTGTAAGTTTCTCCACACATTAAAAAAAAAAACCTATTCATAAGCTCTAATTTATATTTTATTATTTTAAAATATTTATTTTTATGCAGAACTGAGATATAGGTCACAGGTGTAGGGGATGGGAGGATTCGCCAGAGACAAGAATGGGGAGCAGAATGGGCTGATCTACTGAAATACACTTCGGAAGGGATCAGCTGGCGAGACAGGAGAGGTCTACTGCACTATGTGGGTCACCTCCCTGGCCAGGAATTGAACTTGTGCTTTAGCTTCGTGCTGTGCTTTAACCCACTGCACCACCAGGGAGGGCCCGCAGTCTGATTTTTCACTGCAAATCATTTTCAAATTAAATTTCAAAACTTTATATTAAATTTAAAAGTTAAATATTAAAGTTTTTGCTTTTAGCATACAAACCGCACACATCAAAGTTTTATTTTCAACCTTTGAATGATGTAATCCACCTTTTTTTCTGGAAGAATTCTAGGAAACTTTCTAAATTAGTATAAAAGTTTCCATACTATGTGAATCAATTTATTACTCACATATTCATAGTTGTTCCAAGTTGTCATTCAGCAGGTTTCTCAGTCATATGCTAAATCAATATAAAACTTTTACATGAAGAAAATGCTTAAACGCAAAAAGCACACATAAGTCAGTAAGTGTACTAGGTCAGCTAGAGTATTCTTCAAATTACACTGGAAAACTTCAAGGATGTACGGACAAGGATGCTTTTATTAGACTGGTTATCTAGACTGTTATGTTTCAGATGAGCTCCTATCTAAAACAGGTGACCTCTAAGCCTGCTGAAGTTGAGGTACTTTCCTGTTAGTGCCTTTCTCCTTCACAGATGAAAAGATAATTTTCTGAATTTTACTGTTAACCCTCAGGGTAAAAAATCCTCTGCAGAGGGGAGAACATGAATGACTATAACAGCTGAGTAGCAAGATTTCACAGCCATGGATGGAATGAGAAGTAATTAAAATTAAATTTAATGTATTATAGTAATTGCTATGATAAAAGTATGGTGGGGAAATAAAATGAAGCTAGAAGTCTGGTAAGAAAAAGAAATGCTTTAAATTTCCCATTATGAAAAATCTTCATAAATGGGTGATATAATGATTAAAACAGTATTTAGATTCTGTTGGAAACTTTTAGAAAAACAGCATCTTAGGGCATAGATACAGGATGCTAAAAATTACATCTTTTTTCAACAATGTTAACTTATGAAACATTATAGATGTCAAATTGAAAATATGCAAAGGAATTCGTGGTTATCCTCCCTCCCCTCCCCCAAGTGGCAAACAGGTTTTTTTTTTTTTAAAAGACATTTGCATAGTCACAAGTGAGCAGTTCTTAAATGGCAAGAACTGTGTTTTTAAAAGGTCAGGTTTACTAAAGAAAAATATGTATAGACAGGGGCTAAGAGCTGTGTTTTGTTTGTGGGTACACAAACAAAGAATTTGCAGATCCCTTGTTTATAGTTATCTGTATTAGTTTTACTACTCCAGGATGGTATGACAGCTAACTTTCTATTAATTGGGAGCAGGTGAGTGTGTGGACCTGACCGTGTGACTAAGTAGCCGACCCAATAAGGCACATCCCTAAAACTCTGAAGCCTACTTCCAGAAAGTGGCCCATGATGATCTGTCCTGTGGACCTAAGGCCTGGCCAGACTCCCCGCCCACCTGACCCCCAGTTCTGCACTCCTGCGTTCTCTGTGTACTGTTCTGAGGAGACAGGGGAATGTGGACAGTGGGTTTAGGTGAGATAGAAAGTATGGGTCTGGCTTGAATTTTCAAAGAATTTAGTATTCCTTTTTGCTATATTCTGTAACAAGTAACTTTGCTGACTTTTCGTAAATATGTGATTTTCATCTTGCTTCCTGAAATGCTGACAACAGTGATAACTACTCTATATGGCTTTCTCCACTCCTAGTAGTGTCACAGACACCCCAGTACAGGATATTTTCTCTTCTTGAAATAGTTAAAAGCTGTTTCTCTGAGAGGACTTTCTGTGAAATCTCTAGGTAAAGGCAGGATGTCTAAACATTTTTTATGGATAAAGGAAACTCAACTCTCTTCTTCCAAGTGAACCTTTCTTTTCATTCACCTCCTGTGACACAGACGGTCTCCATTTGCATTTTATTTTGTGTGTTGCTGTCTGGAGCAGACGAGTTTTTATACATCTGCATTTTGAATTAAGTCTAAATCTTCTTTAATATAGCATGGGAGGAAAAAAGCCTGACCAGGACCAATGCAGTCATTTTATACAGGAATCCAAAAGCATCAAATTTCCTGGCACTCTGGGAACAATATAGCATGAACAAAAGGTTATAGAGGGAAGAAAATGTAATTGATTCTGAAGAGCGTGAACATCTGCAAAGGATGTATTGTAGGAAAGAACGGTCTCCGAGGACCCTGCTTATGTTACCCGTGTCGAAGAAATAACCCTTTCCAGCCTACGCACCCCTTGGGATGAGCACAGGAGACTGCAGGCCATGGAGCTTTTTTAAAACATGGAAATACACAGAAGATGCCACAAAACAAAATTTTCTCAGCGGTGTTGAGCTTACGGCCTCAAAGTTAAGGCCAACGTGATCTGTGCTTTCCTTCTGTGCGTACCTGCAATGTGCTTATGGCCACGGTGGTTTATTCTTGAGCTTCAATTCTTCCACACTGACATGGGGACACTGGGCCAGATGTTAGATGCCTTTTATAATGCTGTCCATCATGAGACAGCAGACGGCTTTTTCTTCCAGAAGTCTGTCAGCTTTTCCATTTCGGATGGGAAGTGAAAAACTTCTTACACAAGTGATTTAAGAACATCAACATTTATTTAACATGATAAAAAAGAAATGAGATATGAACATTTGCATTTAAACAATAGGAAGTAGCCTTTAATACTTACATTACATGTGCTCATTGTATAATATATACACAATGAACATAATTACATTTGTACACAGACTAAGTACTGGATTTGAAAACCTGCTTATTGCTGTACACATCTATTCCAATGAAGTATAAGCCCAGTACTTCAAAGTACCTACATTTTTAATTGTTTTTAAGAAAAAGTAAGCATTAACATTTGCGGTTAAGCGGATGAGTGTGTGTGGCAGTAACTGCTAACGTTGCAATCTGACCGAGAAATAATGATAGCAGAAACGGGACATACTTCACTTAGCGATAATAAAATGGCACATTTTAAATATATATATAAAATTTTTACAAATCAAGTGTGAAACAAAGCATTGCAATAAGTGAAACAGGAGGAGTAAAAAGAAAAAGGAAAACAGGCTTTCTCGGAAGTAACTGAACAAATGTCCTGAAAAGCAAAAAGAAATAGAAATCTACCTAGACTTTAGAGACATCGAGATCTGGAAATCAGCAACTAAGTCAGCCGTGGCTGTAGACTGCACATGAAAAAGCACCTTCACGTGTGTGCTCTGAAATCCTAGCAGCAAGCTGGTGTCCAGACAACGACCTGGAGCTGACGGAGTGCATGTGTGGGGTTATTAAAGCTGTTTTGGAATAAACATTTTCCAGAAGTGATAAAATGATGCTCTGTGGCCAAAAGCATCAGAACTATGAATTTCATAGATTTAAAATATACTGTACAATATCTCCTCACACTGCTGAAGGTCCATGTCCTTAGCTTTGAATAGTTTCAAGAGAATTCAGTATAGCTGAAAAATAAAAAGAGGAAGAAAGTGACTTTGACACCTGTGAAGGAGTGAATAACCATTTCCTAAGGTGACTGAAGGTGACAGTGTGTCATACAGGACTGTCAAGCATAGTCAGAAAAAGCCTAGAGCATAATATAATTAAAGGACACTTTTGCTTTGGGTCCTTACGATGAATGCACAAGGCAGAGAAACACAAATGTAGCTAAATATCAATTCCCCCACCAAAAAAAGCTCCCCAAGTTCTGAATCCAAAAGATTAACAAAGTGAGCAACGATTTATTTTCATTACTTCACAAAAATCTCTTAAGATACACTGAGCTGCCCACACAGTAGTGTCATCTGGACAACTTTCCTAAGTCCCGCCAGAGTGACTTGTCAGAAAGATGGACTCTGCACAGTGAGAAGAGGAAAACAGTTGAGCTAGACTGCCACTAGCTGTTTGTGGTGGCTGTGTGCCTGAAACGAGAGAATAGCCAGCAATAACTGTGCCTCATTCCAGCGTGCAGTGGGCTCTCACATGAAAACAGAGCAAAAATCAACAACTAGATCTAGAACTGTACTTGAGTTTTTAACGGAGCCTGTCTTTATCGGATCGAGCTGTATACAATCATGTCTCCTTCTTTTATCATGCTGCAAGGGAACCTGAGTGGCTCTTCAGGTCCATTTCTGCACAAAGACAGAAGCCACCTGCCAGCTGCCGGCTGGTGGAGCAGGGGCCGAGCGGGCATCAGGTCACTATCCTGTGTTTGCTGCTTCCTCACAAGTGGCCAGAGTCACTTCTGTAGGCTTGAGGTCAGAAGTTTAAATACACAAGCGATGGAGGCAAGATATAGGAAAGAAATTTCAACAAATAGACTGTAACGCTGAGAGGATGTCAATTCTGCATAGAAGTTGAGTGATAACAAAGAAAGGCCTTTTCAGGCTCCAGAAAGAGATAATCTCAAGTAGGAATCACAAATCTTAATCTCAAGTAGGAATCACAAACCTGACAAGACAATACGACAGAAATCCTCCTGGCTAGAAGAAAGGACACAGATTATATCTGCTACAAGAAGGTGTGAGCGGAAGTACATTCTAGTAAATAAACACCAGTCTTGTCAGTATTTGTACTCTGGCATTCTGAGACTCCAAAACCAAAGAACAGGTCAGTACGTGGGCTCATAACGGTATTTTTCCTGCTTGCTACTGTTTAAATGAGACAAAGGCACTAGACATTAGTGAATATGGTAGATTCCATGAGAAAAAAAAAATGCAGAAGGTGTAAAATGCTCACTCTAAGCCTTATAGGTTTTTCTGAAAAGAAACAACAACAACAACAACAACAGTGGGTGTGTATAAAAACACACTGGCAGGTAAAATTGAGCAGTTGTCCACAAAGGTCAAAAGCGAGACTTAGGAAAGCTGTCTGCGTCTAAAAATCACTGTCATGCACCCTGTCAAATGTTTTTGCTTCCCTGGTCCCACCCATGTCTTTCTTTATAGTTAACTACCTGTTTCAAAAAATTTAGAAACAATCTCTGAGGTGACCAAGATTTTACTATTTCTTTTGTTGACTGCACCACAAGCATTTCTTTGTCTTTTAAAGTAGTCGACAAACTCCCCATGCAGTGGAGATGTCTCAACAACTGTGAAAGGCGCAGTTGTCCACCAACTAGTAATGACTTAAACAGAAGTGTCAGCACCTACTGGAGAAGGACTGCGTGGGGGCACAGCTGCCCGGCACCACCAGGCTGGCATGGCACTCCCTCCAGTGTGCTGCTCTTTCATTCTGTCACTCTCTCTTTTTTTATTTAGTGAAATAAGAGACAGAGAGGATGCTGTCATGTAGCAGATCGCGGGAAGGCCCAAGGCTGGGTAGCTGAGTGACTGCCCAGGGCTCTCCAGCTCCCCCCCACTCTCCCAGAGCTCATCTCAGATGTTATGCACTGAGCCAACAAATGAATTGCATTCAACTGCCAAACTCTACGAGCAAACACAGGCGCGAAAGGCAAGCACGTACTTTTTCCGAGACTACACACACATGAAATGGGATCCTTCTGTGAGCTGCGGCTGAGTGGACGGGACTGGTGACGCCGAGGACTCAAGAGGAGGGGGCACATTTTTCACTAAAACACACCAAGAAACACGAGAGGGTAAACATCTTCAGGACACATTTGGAGACGGAAAGGCTAAAGGCTACTTTAATCTTGATGCTATGACCGCAGCTCATCATTTCTTGTTTACTGGGGTGCTGTTATTCTCTAATGTGACTACTGATCATTTGGGAGGAAGTGTCCCTTGAAGATTTTTAAAAACATTCTCTCTCCTGTACAGTTTCAACTTTGATGATGTTATGTCAGTTACATTCTGATAAAGCTGCAAAACAAATTTAAAGTCTTTTGTCTTTGAGATTGTCATGTGTCTACCAGTGTCACTGGGTCTCACTTCTAAAATTCTTCCTCGTTCTAGAAAACTAAGTAATACAGACAGTTTAACTGTGTGGTTTTTTCATACCCACCCACCAACTTGACCCAGACCTGCCATAACAATAACCACAGTGGTCAGTGACAATTACAAGAAATGTGAGAATTCCTGTATACACTGCTTCTTAGTGAGTGTTAAAAGGCAATGTGAACGATGATGTAAATTTGCAAGCTATGGTTCTGTAAAATAGAGAATGTTCTTCCCATGAATAATCCTGAAAAATTGATTTTAAGTGAATTTATATTTCTGCAAAGTGACAGGAGTGAGAAAGGGATTATGAGTTGTTTTTTTTTTTTTTTGGTGCTGAAGGACTATGAGGAAAAAAACTGATAATATGTACTTGAAGTGTGATCCCTCATCCCAAGCCCTGCCAAAAACCATCAAAAAAAAAGTTAAGAGAAAAAAAAAATTGGGGAAAAACCAGAAGAATACTGACAATTGTATTTTTTTTTTTAAGCACATTATGGGTCACAGTCTTCCATTATTAAAGAAAAAACCCATGTGGATCATGAAGAGCAGTTCAGAGGGTGTTTCAATGAGAAGATGACGAAACAAGTAATACCCACCTGCCATTGTCTGATTTCCTTTGGAGGCCTCCAGAGTTAGCTCATAAGATATAACAGTTTCTTCCTGCTCATGAATATTGTCCTTCGTATTTTCTTCCAAGTGGCCTTCTGGTTTATGGTTTGTGAGCTGTGTCTCATTTTGAGGGCTACCGAAAACAGGTTAAAAGAGGAAAATCTGGTATTATAGAATGCATTTCCCCCTTTTCAATGTACTGTTATGAAAAATTTGACCATACAGAAAAGATGACATATTACTTGCAATTAATTTTTTCCTTCTACCTGGTAAGAAAACTTCAAACACACACAGCAAATTAGAGTGAATGTATGGAACCTATAGACTCAGCTTTAATGATTACCCACACTTTGCCCATCTCATTTCAGATAATCCCAGCCCCTTGTTTCCTAATAATTTTAAAGTAGATTCCGGACATTGCATTCAATCTGAAAATTTGTAATCTGTGAATACTTCCATTTGCATTTATAATATTTTAATATCAACAAATATCCAGCTAGTGCTAAGGCTTATCTGATCATTCACTGTATCGCCCTGAAGTTACCTGTTTGAATTCACACAAGTCCAAACACCATACATATGCCTGACAAATCTCTGAGGCTACTTCAATCTAAAACACCCTACAGTCCTTTTTCCCTTTGCTTTGAAAGTTGCTGGTTCTTCTACTTGTGAATCAGCAATGATCATGTGTAGATCTCGACAATTTGGATTTTGATAATTGCATCCCTTAAATTATGGGTAAACTAGTAGGACACGAGGCTTGATCAGATTTAGGGGGATGCAGGGCAAGAGGTACAAGATTAGGTGGTGGTCCTGCATTACTGCATTAGCAGCTTGCCTCTTTTTGTGATGTTAAAAATGATAAGTGAATTCAGGGGTTATTAGCTTGATCCATTCATTATAAAGTACTCTGTCAGATTTTCAGCTGACAGCTTTAGCAGCTACTGAGAAATACTGTTTAACTCCATTATATCATCAAGGTTAGCAAAGCAGCACTGTTCTCTCATTTCTTCCTGAAAGAAATTCTTCTAAAAAGGAAAAAAAAATCCTCATAAACCCTTTGGCTGAGTTTGTTTGGAAAAGGCTAGATACGTAATTCTCTTTTTATCTTCCAGGTTTGAGAAAAATAAATCAATTCCCTAGCATCTTCCAAAATGGCCAACAAATTATTATTATTATTATTACTTTGCTGCTGTTGATCACTGTGAACTCACTGACTCTGTATCTACTGGCTAAGTTTTAATCTACACCTATTACAAAAATTCATCAATATTTTCCCTTATCAGCGACTGCCAAACATTTTTCCAAGTTTAATCTTGCTATTCATTAAAGAGATAAAGGCATTCCTAGTAACATGAAATCATGGCTTTTCTCTTTCCAGCCCCAGTAACTTTCTTTTGTGGAGGATGAGACAGAGAATACAATTAAGAAGGCTAATTAAGAAATATAGCTAAAACATAAATACCAAAATGTCAGAGTTTTAAATCAGACAACTTAGGCTTCTGATCACATAGGCAAGGAGGCTGTGCATATGTGCCTCTTGCATATTCTGTATGTTATGTAATGATATTATTGTAAAGTGCTGCATGTGTATTTTCTTATTTAATCTATGACATACTGGTGAGATTAAAAACTAATAACATCTCCATTTTCACAAGTAGAAGAACTTGTGAACTTATTCCAGATCCCATAACTTCCAAGTATCCAAGCTGGACCTGGAATCCAAGACTTCCTGACTCTGAAGTTCCCCAGTTTTGACCAGTCACAGTTTTGGGAATATCTTCTGTTACTTGTTTTCCCTAATTATTACCTGTTTGAAATATCCTCAGGTACTTTTTCTTGGTTTCTCTCTGTATCCACCACTTCCTCAGTATTTATTCCATTCGGCTCAGGTTTGAAAAGTGTTTCACAAAATACATTTTCTGTTTTATTAGACTATAGAAGAAGAAGAAGAAGAAGAAGAAAATTGCCTTTTCAAAGCAGTCTCATATTTCACATTTAGTAGTAAATCTAAAATGTTTCCAAAATAAAACTTTCTTTAAAAATTATACCCTGGGGCCTCCCTGGTGGCGCAGCAGGTTAAAACACAGCACTAAGAAGCTAAAGCCACTGCAGCATGAGTTTGATCTCCGCCCGACCCCGAGGTGATCCACATGGTGCAGCTGATCTGTCCTGACCTGTCCGCTGCTCCCATCTGCAGTGTTTCAGTACATATGTCTGTTCTGCCCCCTCTCTCTCCCTGGTGAAACATGTCACCTCCTGCACCAATGACCTATATACACCAGTTCTTGCTTGCATAAATATATAAATCTTAAAAAAACAAAACAAAACAAAACAAAACAAAAAAACTACCCTTTTGTAAGTTGGGCTGTATGAAAGTAATCTACCTCTCTGTTGAAATCTGTGCTTTCAGATTCAGCTGCTTTTAGTCGAACAATTTCTGCTGCAGGAGTTTCGTGGTCTGGTTTTCCATCATTTTCTCTAATGACAGCGTCAGGTTCTTTATCATCCCTCCTTCGAGTCTGCTCAAGAGATTATATACTGTTTTCAGGTCCAGTAGCTTTAATTTTTAGATAGCACCTGGTCATTTTGAAAAAAAGCTGGATCTTCACTCACAAAGAGGTTTCCTTATGAAAACCAACAGAGGAAATTTATTCATTCTGTAACGTGTAGAACGTGCAGTTACTCAACCGATGAACTGAATAACTCTGCATTACAGATTCAATCTGTTGAATGTCCCAAAGTAATGCCTGCTCCTGATTAGATGGAAAGTGGATTTCTAGGAAGACGGGAAGTACTTTCAGCTGAAGAGTCAGTGCTAACAGGGAGAGGCCAGATCAATGTTTGTTAGTCTGCCCTGTGGTTTGGAATCCAGGTAACAAAGAAGAAATGGAATGACATTGCTTTACAAGGCTGAGATGTGATGAGTGAGCAGACCTCGAATTTTGACTTAGAAGCTCCTTTTAGCTACAATTTAGGTCATATTAAATCAGGACACTCAGAGTAACATACATTGTATAGGGAGGGGAGTTGGGGACCATCTGGGAACTACAAGGCATTTTTCCATTTGCTGAGCACCCTTTTATCTATCTCTGTACAACACACAGGCAGCTTGTGTCATTCTTGATTCACAGCAGAGGGAAGTAAATACACAACCAGTGCAAGGGCTGACATTTTATAGCCAACATATAATTTAGTTCAGGTATTCTGAACCCAGGGCCATTTCCCCTTTACTAAGAAGTCTTAACATATCATTATAAGCTTACATAGTATGAAACAACTCCCCATAGTGTACACACTCAAAAACCATCCAACATGTAACTCCATGACTCTAAAACTCACACGGTATTTGATTTACACAGAATGATTAGAAGCAAATGATATACCTGGGTAAGCCTGAATGGATTATCCCTTAAATTTGAAGGACTCTGTAAGGGTGTCTGGTCTAGAGCACCAAGAACATTCAGTCCTTTCTTCTTTTCCCGCAGACATGCTTGCTGGTGTCTCCTTATTCTTTCCATTTGCTCTTCCACAGTCATTCGAGGTCGAGTGCTTTCAGCCAAACACAGCTGTTCCACTGCACTTCGCGGTCTTTCCTGCAAATCAAAAACAAACGTGTGCACATGTCAACACAGAGTAACTTGCTGGAATAAAAAACGATCTAAAATGCATTTACTTTGTTTTGAAAATCAAGATTGGAGATTTAGAGGATACTAGAAAGGGAAATTATTAAGCCTTCACTGGTAATTGGTGGTATCTTGTCAATGGTGGAAGGAAGGAGAAAGACAAGAAAGGAGGGTAGAGAGAGAAAAGGAACTTAACAAAGGTATTTTCTTTTTTTTTTTTAAGGTTTATTTATTTATGCATACAGAATTGGGGTACAGGTCAGAGGTGCAAGAGCAGTGAGGGGATTCACCAAAGACAGAGTGGGGCAGACCGACAAAGTACACTGCTGAGAGGAGCAGTGAGTGCGATAAAAGAGGTCTCTGTGCCATGTGGAACACCTCCCGGGCCAGGGACTGAATTCATGCTGAAGTGGGTGCTCCAAGTTTCACAGTGCTGCACTTTAACCCGCTGTGCCACAGGGAGGGCCTGGCATTTCTTGTTTTTAAGAAAAAGACAAAAGTGTCAAGCCTTTCCCCATAGCCCTGAAAAAGGAAACTGTACAAAACTCAAGAGTAGGGGGCTGTAGGGCAGGCAGATTCTTACTAGCAGAAACTCCTGTAAAGGCGATGTAATATTTCAAGTGACACATTCACTAATTTAATCAGAGGAAACATTTTCATTTTATGATGAATAAAGAGCTGTGGCAATTATTTATTTTGTGTCAGTAAATGGCTTGTTTTCTGACCTACTGAAGGAAACACTGGAAACACTGGGCCCTACATTCACCAACCAACTGTTCCTTCTCACTTTCTTACTGAAAATGTAAAATGTTGGTATAACATTCAAAATAAATATTCCATCATCAGCTATAAGCCAACACCTAATTTTAGCTTATTTTTTATCAAGGCAATTTGAAAAGATCAAACAAATTCTAGGATCTGCAATAGCACTGGTATGTTTCTTTGTGTTTTGGGGCCTGGAGCATTGGGAAGTGACTGAGACACTGGTGTGCCCTCAAGTGGAGGCCCTCCCTGGTGGTGCAACGGGTTAGAATACAGCATTGCAAGCTAGCTGCAGCCACTTCAGTGCGAGTTCAATCCTTGCCTGTTGTGATCCACATGGCACTGCAGACCTCTCCTGTCTTGCCCGCTGCACCCCTCAGCAGTGTACTTTGTCGATCTGCCTGTTCTGCTCCCCACTCTGTTTCTGGTGAATCCTCTCACTGCCCCTGCACCTCTGGCCTGTACCCCAGTTCTGTATGCATAAATAAATACATCTTAAGAAAAAAAGAAGCTCAAGTGGAAACAAAAAGAAAATGGAAAATGAAAGCACTTCATGTGCAGGACCTTCCTGGTGGCACCTGGGGTTTAAGTGCAGCACTCTTGAGCTATCTGCAGGCACTGCAGCATCAGTTTGATCCCTGACTAGGGGGATGACCCACATGCCACAGCAGACCACTCCTGTCTCTCTCCTCAGCAGTGGATTTCAGTAGATCTGCCTGTTCTGCTTCTCACTCTATCTCTGGTGAATCCTCTTACTCCTCACACCGTTGACCGTTACCCCAGTTCTTGTATGCATAAGTAAATAAATCTTAAAAAAAAAAAAAGACTTAATGTGTAGAAATGATTAAAAAAAAAAAAAAGGTTTATACAATGAGATACCACCTCACCCCAGTGAGAATGGCACACCTTCAAACAACTAGCAACAACAAATGTTGGCGAGGATGTGGAGAAAAGGAACTCTCCTGCACTGCTGGTGGGAATGCGAACTAGTACAACCACTATGGAAAACTGTTCGGAATTTCCTCAAACTGCTAAACATGGAGCTTCCCTACGACCCAGCAATCCCACTCCTAGGTATCTACCCAAAAGACACAAAAACACTGA